AGTCGTTACACTCTTGTGAGTTTCAGGTCATTATGTTTTTGGGAGTTGTTGGATTCTCCGGCGAGGTGGCTAATTGGTCGGCTGGAGAGGCCAACCGAATGATATGATGATTGATTTATTCTACTATCAACATTTTTTAGACATACAACTATCACTAAATCTCTCACCTAAAGAGTTGGGGTGAACTATCTACGATAATCATATTTGACTGAACAACCATAACATTGAAATTTTTTTATTTGGCACATGTACATGCATACCAGCTAAGTATATATCATCTAAATTGTTTATATCACCTCCAAAATCTCATTATTCTATGTTTTAAGAAATGAATTATGCCTTTTCTTGCTGAGGTGAGGTGGTGGATATAAAAATATATAAAAATTGAGTGATGTGTATACAATCTTTTTAAACAAAGATCAAACAAAGCACATCTAATAAATAGGCTTGACTTGATTAAGAAAAACAAAACATTTTCATTGATCAAAATATTTTAACCAAGAAAAACATGTGTATACACTGGAACTACAAGCGTGAATCTAAAAAAAATGAACGACTAAAAACAAAAAAGTATCCCCCAAGGGTAAACAGTTGACCGACAAGTCACTGCCAAGCAAACGAAACAGCCTCCCTAAATCCGGGACATGTCAAAGCTCTAGAGATAATCTCTCGCCCGATGGTGATAAGATTCGCAAAAGGGAGAGACATAATTCATCATAGCAGTAAGTTTCATTAGAAATCTCACATAAGTATCGACAAGATCTGCTTAAGATTTTGTAAATAGGTGTATCCGGTTGAGACAACGAATCAACTAGGTAGATGAGATGTAGACCCCATAAGACTTGTGCAAAAGCGACAAGTGAACCACAGTTCACTCAAAAAATACTAATCGACTCATCAATCGACCAATAAACTGACAGCAGTGTAGGCAGAAACCTTTGAATCGTGATTGGACGACCAACCTGCTCTTTTCATAGCGTACGCGATAGTCGTTCGACCGAACACAACCAATTACCGTTATCTCAGAATTGAAATTGTAATACAAATATTGAATGAAATCCATATAATTTCTTAAAGCATTAATCATATTAAGATTGATTTTCATAACTGTTCTCTTATTTTTATAATTGTATCAAATACATTCTTATCAATAAAAGACAAAAGGAAGATCAAATGGAGGCAGCCATTAAGACTCCCATAGTTCCCTCTAAAGTAACTATTGATTCACTTTGTTTTCTCCTTAACTCAACTCTTAACTCTCGAGTTGTGTTCACAATAGACAATCCAAGATCCAACATCCTGAAAGGTGTTACGGTAAGCGTGGACAATGGACATGTCCCATACGAGAAACGAAGCTAACTAAGAAAGAGAAACTTCCCAAAGAGAGATAACATGCATGGAAGCCAATAGAGGCACTACACAACTACACGTCCACACGTAAGTCTAGGGGCTGCACGCCCAGCTGGCTTTCATGATGGACATTTCGAGCTCCTTCGGGAAGCAATCATTCAGAGGAACAACCACTTGTCTTGACTGAAAGTGAAACTCCAGGTGGTTCATCCCCAAAGGCCCCCACCAGGGATCCCACCTATTTCGCACAACCAGGTCAACAACCAGCAGATAGAGGGACAAGGAGAGTCCTAACACATAGACGCAACTGCCTTTGTGCAAGGGAACATGTGATAGGAAGAACGAATGCGAGTGCGTGTTCAGACACTCGCAGGAACTGACTTTACTCGCCAAATCAAAGAGGCAAAATCTCCACCCAAGCTGAGTATTCGTTTCTTGGATTTTTTACGAATCAATAATTGACCTAATTGATCACGTCGTGTCATTCAAATCATCCTTAGTCTATTCCAGATTGGCATTTTGATAATGTGTTGTCGCTTTTTAACCACCCTCAAAGTGTCGGCCCTTATATGGTTCAACGGACTACTTACTGAAATCATCCCAAGTTGCTACAAGTTTAAGAGACTCTTTATTTCACAATTTTCAAATGTCAGAAGCCGAATAAAGACTCAGACACCCTGCTTGACCTCAAGCAGGGAGAAAATGAGAGCCTGCGAGCCTACATCACCCTCTTCCAGTATGAGATGTTGAAAGTTGAAAATCTGAAGCCGACAATAGCCGGAACAACCTTGAAGTGAAGATTTTGAAGAAAATGATTCAGGTAGAACCTAAACCTGTTTAAATCAACTACTTATGATAATTACAAAAGGCGAAGGACAATCAGTCCACTGAAAAAAAAAACCAACAATGCTCAGTTCTGAGATCAGTGAAGAAATGACCAACACAACTATGACCGAAAATAGCACTTTGATCAAAGGTCGGCTTAGTATTATGAGCGACCACATGTTTACAGAGAAATGTAAATTTTGACGCCCCTCAATGTGTTGATGGCCGAAATAACACAGGCTATCCAAAATAATGACTACTTCAAAGCGACCCTAATACTAAAGGCTCCACCGGCCTCACAAGATCCGAAAATGTGCCGCCAATATCACCTTGACCATAGACATGACGCAGAGGAGTGTCGTGGCCTCCTGAACCTAATCGAGGAACTCATCAGCGTTGTAAACCTCGAATAATTTGTAGTGGCCGACGCACACACACAACAACAGGGAAAAGCGCCAACAAAGGATCCCTTCAAAGCGTCGTTAGGACGAATGATGCCCATGTAGCAGGGATAATCCTCACCATCTTTGGGGGGAATACCTCAACCCTCTGATCTAAAGAGGCAATGCGCGAAAGAGGTATGCTTCCTCGTCCCATACAAATATAACCAATTGTCGATTGTCTTTTACAAATGCAGATCTCCTCCCAAAGGAGAACCCCTAATATGAGGCAATCGTCATCACCATGATGAACAACAACTACTAGGTGTTTAATATTCTTGTTGATACATGAAGTTCAGTGAATATCCTGTTCAAATCAGTGTTCAAAAAGATCGGTCTGAAGGTCGATAAGTTAACAATGACCCTTTTTTTGGATTTTAAGGGGAAAGGAAGGAGACGCTAAACCTTTTGGCTCTGGCCATAACTTGGAGAAAACCAGAAAAGCAGTATAACAACAAAGAGGATTTTTTTCAGATAGAATCAACACCGTCTTAAAATGCTATATTCGGCTGGCCACTCCTGAGCAGCTACCGGGCCGTAGCTTCCACCTACCATGTAGTCGTAAAGTTCTCAGATGATGGGGAAGTAATTATGATCCGAGAAAACTTAAAGCAATAAAGAAATTGCAATTTACGAGTAGTTTTGAGTGTCAAGCATGAATCACTCGACATCCAGATCCAGAGGAGGGAGGGCTCGAGATCAATGAGGTCGTCCTTAAGGTGACAATGTCAGCCGAAGAATCCGACAAAGTTTTTCTAATCAGTGAATGGTGACAATGTCAGACGAAGAATCCGACAAAGTTTTTCTAATCAGTGAATGTTTTGACGTGAAATTCATAAACCAACTAGTATAGATGCTTCAAGAGCACCGAGAAGTGTTCCTTGGACCACAACGAAAATGCCCGACATTTCGATTATTCAGAAACCAACTAGTATAGATGCTTCAGGAGAACCGAGAAGTGTTCCTTGGACCACAGCGAAAATGCCCGACATTTCGATCAATGCAACGGGCCACCGACTGAACATCAACCCCTACTATCAGTCGGTCCAATAAAAGATTTAGTTGACTCGCAGAACTTTGGCTGAACCAATAACGACGAAAGTTGACTAGTTTATGATTCGAGCCAGATCAGAGAATTAGACCTGTTTATTATTCAGATCGGGTTTGGATTTGATTTCGGGTTCAGATCAGAGAATTTGACCCATTTATTATTCGGGTCGCGTTTGGGTTGACCCGTTTGGGTCGAATCAATTTCGAGTTAAACCCAAACTTAAGCCGCTAACCCCAATTAACATCCCTACGTGTCAAAATTTGACTTGATACACCAAGACAATTTGAAAAATCTAGGCTCGGATTAACCCGAATTTTTTTTAGTCGGGTTCTAGTCAGAGAATTTGACCTGTTTATTATTTGGATCGGGTTCGGGTTGACTCTATTCGGGTCGAGTCATTTTCAAAATGGACCCTAACCTGACCCGTTGACCGAAATTGAAATCCCTAAATGTCAAAAGTTGACCTGACACACCGACACAACTTGAACTCGACTCAAAAAATCCAGGTTCGGGTTGACTTGAATATTTTTCATGTCGGGCTCGGGTCAGAGAATTCGATCCGTTTATTATTCGGGTCAAGTTCTGGTTGAATTATTCAGGTTGGGTCATTTTCAGATCGGATTCGAACCCAACATGACGACGCAAATTCACATCTTTTCCAGACATTATTTTTCATAAATACTTGTATTTTTTGAGTCATATAAAGACACATGTAGTTTTTAGTATAAGATTGTAACGCCATTCTCATTGTTGTGAGAGAAGAGTGTATCATATACTTACAAACAAATAGTGGATTACTTTGACTAGGTTAAGTCTTGTAGCTTTTCCCATTTAAAGATTTTTCCACTTAAAAATCTTTGTATCTCATCCAACTACTTTTTATTTATCACGTGTGATGGATCTTCATGAAATACTAAAAAGTTAAATTATCATTTTATTTCATTAAATTTCTTAGCACACAATAATAATCATAGATTATTTTTTAAAATCAAATTGTTAAAACATAATAGCCATAAAAATTATGCTATAATTTTTTCAAAAAATAAAAAAAATATTTCAAATTTTCATTAATTATTTAAAACGTTATTTTCTCACAAAAAACTACATGATGACAATAAAATCGAAAAGTCTTTATATCCCTCCCAAATGGGCCGTACCTTGTTTTTAAAAATCATATAATATAATAGATATTTAATTAATCATGTAAGATAAAATTTATACTAATTAACATTTTTTTCTCTTGGTCGCGAGGGACCAGTAAAGCCTTTTCTTATCACAAACGCTCCCCGCGTCTCTCCCACGACCTCTTCTGAGACTTTATAAGCCACAAGGATCCGCAAGCGCTCTCAACGTTCGTTTTCCATCTCGTCTTCTTCCCCTTCTTTCCTGCCGCACTCTTCCCTTTCTACCCCGCTCCTCTGCTTTCACGGCACTCCAAAAGTACCTTCTTTACAATCAGCAGTTTCCTCCTGTTCAGATTTTTGGCGCGCAGAAGCTTTGATTTGGTGATTGTTTCTCTGTTTGTAAGAAATCAAAAATAAAAATTTGGGCTTTTTTTTGTCGGTCCGAGTTTGATTTCTCCGTAGTCGAGCAGAGCGGTTTGGTATTCTTTTTCTTCTTCTGCTACTTCTCGCATTCTTGTGATTTATGGAAGGGGGGAGAAAGAGCGGCAGGGGATTTCATAGAGGTGATGTGGGAGACGAGATTAGAAAGCAGAAAGGGAAGGGGAAACAAGTTGAGAGAGTAGGTGGTCTAGTAATGGAGAAGCAGACACCAGATGTTCCTGTGTTTGAGGAGACGCAATCGCCGACTTCGAAATCCGCATTCCGTTCACTAAAGAAAATTCGAAGCCCGGATCGATACTCTTCGGCTCCAGCTACGGTAACATCTTCCTGTTCTTCGCGCACAATCTTACCTTTTACTTACGATTCAGAATCAGTACTTATTCCTCACTTCCAATCAATTCAGCCGCAGCAGCAGCAGCAGAAACCTTTCTTTTTTGATCCAAACCAGTCCTTTACAATCGGTTCGTCTTCCTACACAACTCCTCCGCCTTCTCTTCTTCTTCCAAAAGAAGCCTTACAGCAGAGGTACTCAGAGCAGCTGTTAAAGTACTGGAGCGAGGCGTTGAATCTGAGCCCACGCGGCCATATGATGATGATGAGCCGCTTAGCCGCCAGGGAAAACCGAGGCCGGTTTCCGGCGACATTTTTCCGGCAACCTGCGTTGTTTCCCGGAGTTAATCCAACGCCGACGAAGCTTTACAGAGGAGTAAGGCAACGCCACTGGGGCAAATGGGTTTCTGAAATCCGTTTGCCAAGAAATCGAACTCGGCTTTGGCTCGGCACTTTCGACACAGCCGAGGACGCCGCTCTGGCTTACGACCGCGAGGCATTCAAGCTTCGCGGCAAGAACGCTCGCCTTAACTTCCCCGGCCTCTTCATCGGGGAAGGTTTAGGAAGCAATAGCAAAGATGAGGATTCCACCTCCGAACTGACTCCACTGGAGGTTTCAAAGGACAATGTCAGTCCTCCACTTGAGAATAGCGAAGCTCCGGTGGAAGTGAAGCCGGCAGAGCAGAGTTCAGTTGAAACAGAGGTTGTGTGGAGCGAAACAGAGGAGGCATGGTTCAGCGCATGGGGGCCGGGAAGCTCTGTATGGGATGATGTTGATGGGGTTAGAAATAATTTGCTCTTCCAATCCAGTTTTGCGTCTCTCTCAGCTTCGCAATCTGATTGCGTTCATTCTACTGCGTTTACAGGAGTTGATATGGAAACTTCCTGATCCTCTTCTTCTTCCCCTGCTTTTTCTCCTTCCATGTTCATATGGAAGGAACCGTATATCTCTTCGATTAGTTCGAGCAGATCGTCAAAACTTGATCTTTTAGAAGCTGACGACTGAAATAAATCAAAACTGAAACGAAAGTGGCCAAATTTATTTAATTGGAGCTCTTTCAATTCCAGTTTTAATCTCAAAATCCTCTCTCCCTCTCTCCCTTCTCAGACAAATTTCATGGGTTGCAGAATTTTACATGACAACCAGTGAAGAATCAGCTCTCAATCGCCCCAACTCTTTCTTAAACTTCGGATCAAACCATGGCTGCATAAATTTTAGTTTGCAGCCGTTCTTCCGCGTTCTTTTCCCTCAAAAAAAGCAGCAAAAATCGATCAAAACAGAATCTTTCTTTCTGCTTCAATAACTTATCCGATTGATGCAGTTCTGTGATATGCTTTTCCTTCCCTGTTCATGAAATCCAAATCTGTTACTGTCTTATCTCATCTTTGAATTTTCTTTATTTTGTACCGTCTTGGTGATGATTTGATGTTAAAAATTGATGTAGTGCCGTGAAGAACATGGTTTGATGCATGCTTAAGATATTTATATGCTGAGAGAGTTGGTAAGGTTATGTGGAAACCAGAGTTGATGTGGGAGACCATTTTGAGCTCTCCCTCCCTCTCCCTCTCCCTCTCCCTCTCCTCTCTTCTCTCCCTCTCTCTCCCTCTCCTCCTCTCTTGTGTTTCTCTCTCTCTCCTCTCCTCCTCTCCTCTCCTCTGTCGCTATGCTTTTATGTTTCTCTTGTCTCTCTCTCTCTCTCCCTCTCCCTCTCCTCCTCTCTTGTGTTTCTCTCTCCCTCCTCTCCTCTCCTCTCCTCTGTCGCTATGCTTTTATGTTGATATATAGTAATTATTGTTTGTTTCCGCTAATGAATATAATACTTCCTCATGTATGTTATATATATATATATATATATATACATATGTATATCCTTCCGAAGCGCCCATCAAAGTAATGTTCTCTCATGAGCCACACTAAAAAACTACACATTAATATAATTTGATCAGAAAATATAAACCAGGGAGTTTAATTTTACTATACAAAAGAGACGGGCTTATTTAGAGTTAAAAAAAATAATTTATAAAAAAATAGGAGGCAAAATATATTTTCTTTAATAAAATATATTTCATTCTTAATTCTGTGGGACATGGATTATTTGAGTTTATTTCTCAATTTCTTATCCCCAATTTTTTGGGGAATATTACATACATAGCACCCAATTCTTATGAATTTATCTATCTCACACCTAAACTTTCATTTTTATACATAAAATTTTTTGTTTATTTCTCAAAATTTTATCTCATATTTATAGAATTAGGGATTTTTTTTTTGGGAAAATTACATACTTAGCACCCAATTCTTATGGATTTACCTATCAAACACCTAAACTTTCATTTTTACACACATAATTTTACCTATGGAAGAAAAGATGGATTTGACTATTAAAATATGATTATGAGTGTGACTTTGATATGATGTTTATAATTTTGAAAGTTAGGTATGAAATAGATATATATGAAAGTTTTGATTACTATGTTTGAAAAAACCTCTTGTTTTAGAAAGAAAAAAATCAATAAATAAACATTAGAAGGCGTTATATTGTGGTATCTCATATAGGTGTATGAAAAGCAAGGCTTGGTGCTGGATTTCATGTAGGTAATTTTTTTCGTGAAAGCATGCATTTGATTTAAAAACTCGACAAGAGATGCAAGATTGTGCAATGATGCATCTTTGACGTACCAAATAAAGACTTGTCATTTATAAGTTATGGTTAAAATTTTTGTATTAACATCTATATGCATCAAAGAAAAGAACCACTGAGGGTTCCTTGGCACAAAAATGAGCGGCCTTGTTACATTTCCACGATGTATGAAAAAATAAAACTTGCTTAAAATTCAAGGGAAAAGCTAGATCTGGTGCATCCTGAGGCTGTTGCTTGCTCCAAACATTCTGCTTCATAGAGGGCTTTAGAAAATGCATACTATTAGGGGTATCGCCTTCAATTATGATACCCTTACACTCCAACGTCCATGGCTGGCAAGAATCTTTGATAGAATGGAGCTCAACTTGGGCGCTATCCCAAGGTTCAAAACGGTGTCCGATAGCAATTAGGCTCATACCTCGCTCATCCCTAACAATCATCCCGAAAGGAAAAAGAGCACCATCGACATTCAGCTTCAGCCATCCAGGATGGGTAGGGTGCTAGAAAAAGTGTGGAAGGACCCGGGCCAATAGGTCGGCTAGCATCCTATTGTTCCTGAAACGAAAGAAAAGGTGATTCTCGGCAAGCTCTTCCAAAATGGTGGCCGAAACTATAGAAGGAGTTCCAAAGGATTTGTTGCGGCACATAGCGTTGCAAGCTTTCCAGCAATGATGAATCGCATAACAAAAGCAGCGGGTAGCCGTCAATTTCCCTTTTGGGATTTGTGGGTAGATAATTGATAGTATCATCCACATTGCTGCAACACACCTTTGACTCTACAAAAAAAAACGAACAATTAGCTATAATGGGGATTCTCAGCATCCTCAGTGGCAAGTGTCGGTCTCTGAAAGCCCCCCCCCAGCGAACAAGCCACGAGCGGGTTGGGGTGGCATCATGCCGAAAACACTCTCAAATTTGGGCTTATCAATGAAAAGTTTCTCCGGAAGCATTTTTATGTTTTAAAACTTTAGCCAACCCTGTTTTAAGAAGTATTTGTGGCAATAGCGATGATAAACCTTCTAAAAATAATTGTATTAATTCAATTATGAAAATCTTAGTTTCATCAATGATTCTTTTGTTGTTTAAATATTATATATAGAAATCATGGAACAAACCTCGTGGAATCATCTCTAAGACGACAGATATAAATTTTATCTCAAGTCTTCTTCAGAAGCAACAAATTTAATCCTCTTAACAAAGTGTATAGTAGTCATATTCATGACCTTAACTTGCACTACAAGAAAAAAAGTAAAAAACCGGCATAAAAATTGACGGTTTAGAAAGGGTAGTTAATTTTTTCTTTATTTCTCACGGCCACGGTAAGAATAACCGATGATTTTCATGCCGGTTGAACTGTGGGTTTTGAGTGAATCGATTTTTCGACGGTCATAAAATAATTTCCGACGGTCCAAACAATCGCTTCATAGCAAATTAAAAAGCGATGGCCATAACCCGTCAGAGTCAAGCCTTAGCTTATTGGGTTATTAATAACGGTCGATCAAGCCTTAGCTTGTTGGGTTATTAATAATTGTCGATCATGTTATTATAACAGACAACTTCTGATCATCTGAAATAAACTAAATTCCTGTATTGATAGTTAATTTATGAATAGAGATGACAGTAGACTTCAAAATAGTAACCATTAAGATTCATAATGATTCCCAATATTTGCCATGAAAATGAGAGTTCAGTCTTTATCCAAGAATATTAAACTTGGCAATCCAAAATCTACTAAGCCATTCTTTTAAAAAATATTATCTTTCTTATCTTGTTATGTACTATTTATCTAATATGAGTACTATCATTATTGAGAATCACTCAACTAAAACAAAAAAGTATAAAGTGTGATAACTCCAGTTTGCATAAAAGAATGTTGATTATTAACTCTATTGTCAATTAGAAATGCATTTCCTTGTGATTTACGCTAATGATGATGTTGATTTTATAAGAGATAATGCATATGATTTTTGTTTTTTTTTTTTTTTTTTGATTTTTTAGTTCTCCATAATTTGCATTAGTTATAGCTCACTTAGAGGGGTCAATTGTTATAGCATATGTTCAAAGATTTATGCACAAGATATATGGTTAGTTGTTTAAATTAAAAAAAGAAATATTCAGTTAAATACAAGAATACATGGAAATTTCCAAATGTATTAAATAGACTTATTGTACTGCCCTCACTAGCGAAGCCGAAGATTGGCCTTAAAACAAAAGAAGAAATAAAAAACAAAAACTCAACATAACATACATGGATAACGCCAGTGTAATTCCAAATAATGAAACGACAACTACTCTCTAGGGGATGAGACATAACATCTCCATCAAAAAAAGTGGGATAAACAGAGCATCCTCCATGCAGTCTGAAACAAAAAAAAAAAAAAAAAAATGCCACGGTTTCAACAAATCTGCAGTTGCAGTTAAATTTCTCTGAAAAATAACTGATAATGCATTTACATGTACAAACTGAGCTTTAATCTGATTCATTATCTTATAATGTTATTATTCTTTACCCTTTACAATCTTCAAATGTATGCAACTTCCATGTAAAATTTCAACATGATCCAGTTTCTGAAAATGCTGCCTTGAGTACACAAGCCAGTGACTTGTATGCATGTAAGAGACTTTGTTAATCTACACCAATACAGTTTGCAGTTGATTATGGTAGAATATATAGCTGAATGATCGGAAAGCTTTATCTTGATCTTCACTTACCATGTGTCTAAGGGCAAGCTTCATGCGGAACAGCAAAACAAATATGTAAGCCAACAATTACAATTCAACACATTGAAATCAAGGAAGATTTACAAACATACAACTCAATGCCATGTCTGTTTTCATCCTGGTGATATTTATATATATATATATAGCTTTTGAAAAAAATCTGATAAATATTTAAAACACATTATTGACTGAATGTAACATTATTATTCCACACTAGAAGGAATAAAACCCTAATTCAAACAGACCAAACAAAATCTTTCAGTACTAAAAACAAAGCTCATGTGTTATACATTCTTCACCAGAAGCAAAAATGCTTAAATTTTGTTTGGAGTAACTACATGCATTGAAAAGCTCTTCTCATCACTTTAGACAAATAGAACACACACACACACACACACATAAATTAGCAACATTTTAGAAAAATTGCAAATCCTGATTGAGAATGACAAGGTGCTTACAAATTTTATACCAAGATAAACCACACAAATTTTTTGCATCACATCAAAAATTTTTAAAAAAAAACCAAATCTTTAGCTTTTAAAAAGCTAACTACAACTACTCATGTATAACTAAGACTTAATTCATTTACATATTGTAGCTTAAGTGTTAGATATGTAAATACATAGGACATGATTGATATAATCTTCCTTTTTTTTCTTAAACATTTACCTGTAGGTCAAATGCATAAATATAAAAGCAGCACATTTCAATATGCCAATGGCCTTCCAGCCACAAGAATAAGTAGTTTTCGAGACTTCTGAATTTTTTTTCTTATATATGTATCTGTATGTCAGGTATGTAAATCTTCCTTTTTTCTCTTAAACATTTACCTGTAAGTCAAATGCATGAATATAAAAGCAGCACATTTCAATATGCCAATTGCCTTCCAGCCACAAGAATAAGTAGTTTTCGAGATTTTTGAATTTTTTTTCTTATATATGTATCTGTATGTCAGTTACATGCAAAACAGTTTTATATGATTTATAGTGATAGGCAAAGAAGCTGCAAGTTATAAGCTCAGAACTATTTCATTATTGCACTTCTATATCCATTGATGTCATTGATTAAGCTTAATAATAGAGCTTAGATTTTAATGAACTATGTTTTGCTTATAAAATATTCACTGTCATTGAAAATATGTTTTACATAACAATCATAAACATACAAAAACAGAAGTGGCACTAACATTTGCACGAGTACTAAATTGAGTTATTCCACTTCGTGCATGCATTTTCTGAAA